CCATTATCTTGTGATCACACACACACATAAAATCTCACTCTTTACAAGAATGACCCTTCTTCATTAACACGCTTAGCCATCATGTTTCTATCACTTGTTATTTAGTAACAAGCCATTTATTTAAGAACTTAAATGACGTATTTTAATCAAAATGACAACACACTTTTATAAATTGGCGTATTTGAATTTAAAAATCAAGCATTCTTATACCATTGACTCATTCTCAAATGTGGTTTGTGTGGCAACACTTTTCAGTAGGTCCCATTAGTTAACCTTAATTCATGCAATTACTAATATTACATAACAATGAGCAATACTTTTTTACTGTATTCATTGATGTCTGTTAATGCTTGTTCATTCTCATGCAAGTTAGCTTATGTAAGCTCAGGTCCATTAAGTAATATTTAGATTTAAAAATATATTGGTAAATATTCAAATTAACTAAGATAAAATATATGCTTTAGGTGTATTGTTAGTTCATGGTAACTAATGAAGTTAAGTAATGTTAAAAAATAGAAGCTTTGTAAAATGTTACTGGTTTTGTTTTGTTAGAAAAGTGGTAGAGAAGATTTTATGTTTTAAAAATATTATGATAATTACACTCTAAAAAATGCTGGTTTGTTTTAACCCAATTTTGGGTAAAATATGGACAAACCCAGCATTGGGTTAAAACATCCCAGTATTTTTTAGAGTGTAGTCTATGGGCCCTATTTTAACAATCTATCTTTTTATCTATCATTTTTTAACGATATATATCCCATTCCCTTTAAATGTCAGTTGCGCTCACACTATGGTGAATTGCTATTTACATGGCGGAATTTGCAAGCGGAAAGACTGAGCGCGTCTCCTGAGAGCAAACGGATCTGCTTGTTCTTGCCGAGATTAAAGCGCGCGAGCAGACCATCTACGGGACAAGCCGGATTCCACCATATCTTTATGTACACAATTTGAATATTTTACATTGTAATCATTTTATTTTTAATAATTGGCATGTTTGTGTGCTGCTGCGCGTCCCTGTGTGTGTAATAAGCAGAGTGTACGCATGTTGTGGACCCGCCTATAGGTGCATATTACAACGCATTCTCATCCCAAGGCGTCATATGAGATGCTTCCGTAATGGATAGGTTTAGGTATGGGGTAGGGTTAAGGTTAGACCACTAGGAGGCGCCTTCTGCCCCATATATATCTGCGTCTCATTTGACGCTAAAGGGCGCCATGTGCGTTGGATGTCTACGCTTTGGCAAAAGCGTCGTATATGACGCCTTGGGATGAGAACAGGCTCCATATTACGAATGCGCTCCTTAAATAACAAATATACATATATATATATATTAGCAGTCTATTTCAGTTGCATCAAAATAGCAACGCGCCAACAATGCGCCCGAACACACCTCGTTTTCAGACCAGTGAACAGATCAGACCAGGGTTTTCAAGGGCGAACAGATGAGCGCAAATGCATTTGCTATTTAAACAATGTGACGCAGGATGTGATTATGATAACTGCATCGGGCTGAAACTAGCAAAAAACACTTGCGTCGCGCCGCATTGCGCCGTGTGTGTGAAAGGGCCCTATGTATTGTTAAAATAAGTGCACTCAGTATGTTTGTGTAAATGCGTTTTGTCTGTGTGTGCAGCTTGTGATTTGTGTTGGTTAATCATCCACCTGCTGCTGCCTCAGGTTTCCTTACACCAAGTGCAGGCACACACACAAGCACACACACATATAAAAGGTCAACCATTGCCAGGCAGGTACAATGAAATATGGAGACCTAATGTTGGCTGGAAAATGAGTAATCTTTTTCTACCCTCTCAACCGTTCATTTTCTCTCTTTTGCCACTGATTCTCACTTCCTGCTGTTTTCAGTACATCTGTACGGAACAAGGAAACATCCAGAGTCTCACTTCCAGAAACACATGAGGGACTAAAATATGCCTCTTCATGTCTTTTGTTGTCCGTAGTGATTTGCCTTAAAATTATAGACTGTTTAATGAAAGGTTTTATTTTACATTTTGTTTTCATCAGACATTTTTATCAAAAGCAAAAATTGTATGACTTCCTGGGCAATTGAACCCAAGACCTTGTCATTGTTAGTGCCATGCTTTACAGAATTGATAACCCATATACTGTAGTGTGTCAACATGAAGTGCTATTGGGACAACACACCTATATGAGCTGTATCTCTTTTTTTCAATGTAAACGTATAAAACATTACGATTATAAAATTAAAATATATTTTCAAGACTTTAAGGTACATATACAGAAATTGACTTATATAAATTAACAGAAATATAGACCTAAAAAGTGTGACAACTTGAGAACATAAAGGTGTCGCATGCGAATTCCCCAGCAAAAAAAAATAAAAAAATCTTAGAACATTTTGCTATTCTTATCAAGTTTCTGAATGTTCTCTGAACAATTTCCTTCTTGATTTTGTGAACATTAGAGAAAACATTAATTAAGGGAATGTTCAATTTGATCATTCTGGGAATGTTTCTTTTGAATGTTCTCTAAACCATCTCAAACTAGGAAGTAGGAACGTTTAAAAAGAAAATTGATGAACATCCAACAAAAATGTTTCAGAATAACGTTCCATGAATGATGTATAAATAATGATTTTGTGCTAAAGTTTTGACAAAGTTATTAAAGACTAGATAACTTTGAGCGAACGTTCTGTTAATGTAGCTGGAAAGAACGTTTGTTCATAACGTTTTGAGAACATTCCCTGTTCTGGGAACTCGTTCTGTGCTGCCTGCTGTCTGCATTCGGCACTGCTTTGTTTCATGCGAGTGACGTCTTATGACTCACGTGTCATAGCCTGAGTCTCGCTCATGAACAGGTTTTTAAAACGTGGTATCAAGTTAAAAATAGTCAAACTTTTTTTTAAAAAAGTGTTTTGAGTTTTTGAATAGCCTTTAAAGCGTTGCCTAACTGCGCTCAGGAGGCATAATTAATAGCTTTTTTTAATCTCACAATTTTTCATGTTTACTCGCACAAAATCAATGGACCAAATTGACAGCTTTTATTGTTCCTTGCTGAATCACATTTTTAAAAATGCATTCTTTCTTACTTTACTTGTTCAGTGTCTGGCAGAAATCCATTTTTTTCTTCTCTCTCGACCTCTCCTTCCTCTCGATTTCTGCTGAATCATCTTTCATTGTCATTTACACACTTCCATTGACCCCACTTCCTCCAGTCTATCCCCAATTTAATACAAACTGACACCTAGTAGGTCATTTAGAGACAGTATATTTTTATTTGTCCTGCCGAATTTACATTTTTTTAATTGTTCATATTCTTGACATTTCGTTGTTTTTACTATTTTACGTTTAATAAAAGTAACCCTTTAATTTCAGGCTATAATGGCTGTTGGACTCTCTCTTGGTGTTGCTGTCTCCTCATTTAAAGTGATCACTGAAACATCTACAGATGTATTATTTAAATAACTGTTGGTCTTTTTGGTCCTCTTGCTTTTGATTAGTCAGTCTGCTTTTCTTCCTGTTTCAGCTTGGCCTTGAGCCACACATGTACTGATTTTCAGTATATGTGTGTGCAAGCATGTGAATGAGGAAGTGTTTGTGGATGTGTGTGTGAGAGAGTGCTTTGGTTTAGTACTGCTGAGTTGCCTGTTATTCCAACCTCACAGTCACATGCTCCTTCAGCGAGCCTCTTGAACTCATCATGAAAACACCAGGTACTTATTTAAGCATGGTGCATGTTGTAATTGTTCATTTATTTGAACTTTATTCCTGGAGTAAATTACTAATTTATAACCTTTACACCTGTGTTGTTGCTTTATGTCCTCTTAATTATGTCTGGATGTATTTGCGTGCTGTGTGAGTTGTGTGAACTTAGTTGTGTGCTGATAAGCTGTGTGTGGGTCAGCATGCTCTGTGTGTGTAACCATGGTTTCATTACTAAGCAACCTAACCACCTTACCCTCTAAGCGGCATCAAGGTCCGGCTAACCAGAGCCAACTAACAGCTATACTGTGATTGAATATATATGCAGTTTATAAAGTTTTATTATGCAAGAAACATACTAATTTCCTAAAAAAAAAAAAAAAAAGAAGAAGTAATTTCTTTATATCAAACACAATTTCTTTGTCTAAGATTTTGTAGTTTACTCATGCGCTCTGTTTATGGAAATTTGTAGACTGTAGGATTTGGGCAGTCTGGAGATTTATTTCATGCTGAAGAATGTAGATGCGGCTTAGTGAGGTTTATTAGGCAGCTTTAGGTGTAGAAGAGGATTTACGTTTTATGTGTGTGTGTTTTATACAGAAAATATGACTTATACACTGTAAAAAGAATATTATTGGTGTAACTTAAAAAAGTAACCTGGTTGCCTTAATTTTGAGTTCATTGAAATAGAAAGTTTAAGTTGATACAATGGAGATATAACTTATCTAAAAATAATGTGATGACAAATCATATTATAATATTTTACAGTAATAATCACAGTAATGTTTTACAGTAATTTGTACAGTAATGATTAACAATAAAATATCGAGTGATATTTGATATTTAATTGTAGATGCTTATTTCCTTCTCTTACCTTTGCCATCATCTAATGCTCACTTGAAGTTAATCTTAAAAAAACATAGTTTATAAGAATGTTGTTAAATGCAATGGCAAATCTCAAAATTAATATCACATTTTCATATGATAGATCATCCACCAGTTGCATTTAAAAAAATCTTTTGGTATTATAAACATTTTTTGGTATTTCATTTAAAAATTATTATTTTTTAAATATTTCAATTTTAATACTTGCTATATATCAGCCACAACATGGAAATATACTTATTGACCATCATTTTAATATTGGTACATCCCTAATCAATATCAGGCCCTGGGTTTCCAGTGTCAATAGAAACATCTACTTAAATGAAAAGTGATTGAAATAGTATTGTTTATGGATTTATAAGCTAATTATTTAGTGATGCTCATTGTTTGTTTTCAGTACAAAATAACCGGATGAACTTTCCATCTCTTTTTAGACTCCAATCCTGATTGGATGCTTATTTCAGAATGACAGCAGAAGACTCCGCCTCTGCCGTTGCCATGAGTAACCCTAGCCCTCCCCCCTCTTCTAAAGCCTCCACTGGGCATCCACAGCATCACTGCTCTGTCCCCGAAGGAGTGGCCGGGGCCCCAAATGAAGCTGCGCTCGTGGCCTTGATGGAAGGGTCAGGCTACGGAATGGTCCAAGAAAACGGACAGCGCAAATACGGCCCACCACCTGGCTGGCAAGGTCCCTCGCCCCCACGTGGCTGTGAAATCTTTGTAGGTAAAATCCCACGTGACGTTTACGAAGACGAGCTGGTGCCAGTATTTGAGACTGTTGGACGGATCTACGAGATGCGCCTCATGATGGACTTTGATGGGAAGAACCGTGGATACGCATTCGTCATGTACACACAGAAGCACGAGGCCAAGCGAGCGGTTCGGGATCTCAATAACTTCGAAATTCGTCCAGGAAGGTTGCTAGGTGTGTGCTGTAGTGTAGACAACTGCCGCCTCTTCATTGGCGGGATCCCAAAAACCAAGAAACGTGAGGAGATCCTGGAGGAAGTTTCCAAGGTGACAGAGGGGGTGCTGGATGTGATCGTGTACGCGAGTGCTGCGGATAAGATGAAGAATCGTGGCTTTGCCTTTGTAGAGTATGAGTCTCACCGTGCTGCTGCTATGGCCAGAAGAAAGCTCATGCCAGGACGAATTCAGGTTAACACCATTTTCCATTGGGATCAAAGGAATTGATTAGCCGTTTTCCATACAACAATCTGCTAAGCTCTAAAACAAGACTTAAAGCATTATAAAAATACTCCATATGACTTGTGTGCTCTTTTCCACGTCTTCTGAAGCCATATGATCAATTTTATTTCTTTTTCACTAATAATTCTCTTACCCAGTGAGCTGTTAACTGAATCAATGCGTCATTGAGTTTAGACTCAGTCAAATCCATCAAAAGAGACAATTCTTTTCAATAACAAATAGGACTGATCCAATTCTGAGTTCACTGTGATTTTGTTGCAGTGTTTTGGTAGAGATTTTTATTAGTGGCTATAATTTTGTTGGTTCTTCAGAAGACTTTGCTCACAAGTTATATCTACTGCTTTTATGGTGCTTTTATCATGTTATTGCAGATATTCTGTTGTTGAATTGGAAAATAGATGTGTGAAGATCTTTTAAAAGTGTGTTCCTTTGGGCTGGGTGTTTAACAGCATAGGGGTTTGAAATAGCATGAGAATAAATACATAATGGCATACATTTGGAGGCAAAACTATTCATTAAATCTTTCTATGACATTTAGTCAGTACTCCTGCCTTACTTATTTGTGTGTATATATTTTTCGCTTTCTCTATCCAGCTGTGGGGTCACCAGATTGCAGTTGACTGGGCCGAACCTGAGATTGACGTTGACGAGGACGTCATGGAAACCGTGAAAATTCTGTATGTGCGGAACCTGATGATAGAGACCAGTGAGGAGACTCTACGCCAAACCTTTGGCCAGTACAACCCTGGCTGTGTGGAACGTGTCAAAAAAATCCGAGACTACGCCTTTGTTCACTTCGCCAGTCGAGAAGATGCTGTGGTTGCGATGGACAACCTGAACGGCACTGAGATTGAAGGTTCCCGTATCGAGGTGACCCTTGCCAAGCCTGTGGATAAGGAGCAGTACACTCGCTATCAGAAAGCATCGAAGGGAACAGCGCCTGCGACAACTCCCGACAACACCCAACAGAGTTTTGTGTATCAGTGTGATCCATATACACTCGCCTATTACGGCTATCCATACAGCACACTCATTGGACCCAACCGAGACTACTTCATCAAAGGTTGGAGAACTCATTCTCTCTCTTTATTCTCCAAGATCAATAACTTTATGAACTCAAGAAACGCAAAACCATTTGATGAAATCAAAATGACCTGAAAACATTGCTAACAATTGCTTTTTCTTGATGACCTTAAATGTCATGCTATTGAATATATTTGGAAAATTAGATTGTTTTCCAACTCTCTCTTGCATAACAGTCCAAATTCACACAAGTAACCAGACTTGATCTGTACAAACAAATGAAGGGGATGAATTACAATGAATGTGACAATGATGTCTCCTTTAACCCAGAGCTTTCATAAGTCTCATCCTTTAAAATAGTGGTTCTCAACTGGTTTGGAAAAAAAAAACAATGATAGAAACCATAAAAATCAAAACCCATGAACTACGCAAGGTAAAAAACAAAACAAAAAGCAGATTGCATTCAGGGTTGTAAAGTACTTTATTAATTATACTTAATTACCATTTACATATTTTTGTGTCAGTAACCTTTCAATAACATTTCTAAGAGAATCAAATATACTTCTGTCCATCGTTCTGAGCTACCAAGCCAAGCCATATTTAACACTTATGTACAATTAAAAGTGGAACATTATGCTTTTATCAAGTTTTGACTCAAATGTAATGAAGATAAAAATGTATTTTGAGCTGTCAGTTCTTGACTTTCAAGAAATATTCATGTTAATAATGTTGCGTATTAGTTCATGGTGATATAAGGAAATGTGTTTGCTTTTCTTCCATCAACAAGTTTGGTACTGTAAATGGTACTTTTACATCCAATGTAAAATCCAGAAGCAAAACCAGTTAAGAACGACTCCTTTAAAAGACAGTTTTCCAAACAAAAAGCTCTGCCCTGTTTGTTGCTAATCACATATTTAGTGTGGCCACTAGATGGCATGCACTTTGAGATTGTTTTGGGCTGAAGAGCTGAGATCCATAATAGGTATGATGCTGAAACTAATGATGGGAATCTGGTATTGTTACATTTCCTAACCCAGAATCATTAATTATAAATGCTTGTGGTTTTGGGTTGGGTTGCAATTGAGAATTGTGATTGCGTATTCAATCCGAGCTATATTTGCTCATCCATTATCTGATTATATGAAAACAAAACTTTATCTTTACTTTTCGTTTCAACTTTACTCAAGCACCACTCCCATCTCAAAGAACAGAAGGAAATGACAAAGAGGTGTTCACACTGACAGCAATTTGAATTAGAATGCTGAAAAGTGATAGAGCCTAATCTACGCCTTGTGTGTAGCCGCACTCATTTCTTGATCATGACGTCACCCCATGCGAGCAACCTTTTAGCAAAAATCTAGAATCTGAATAGAAAGCTAATTACATTATATTAAATGTCTGCTCAACCTTAAAGGGATAGTTCACTTTGAAATTAATTTTTGGTATGTTTTAGCTTACCTCAAGGGCATCCAAGATGTAAGTGTCTTTGCTTCCTCGGTAGTTTAAATTTTGATATTTCTAGGTCAAACCGTTGGTGTCTAACAGTCATATAATGGAGGTCTATGGGGTCCACCTCAACGAGCATGCACAGAGAAGTCCAAATTAAACATGATTTAATGACTCATAAATGTAAATACATATTAATGGCCTAAGACACGAAACGATGTGTGGTTTGTGTGAGAAAACGAACAGTTTTTATATCGATTTTACCTCTTGTAACCACACCCAAGTCCAAGTGATCTGAGGGCATGGGCGCTTTGTGGCTGTGGTTACAAGAGGTAAAAATAATATAAATACTGTTCGTTTTCTCACACAAACCGCTCGTTTCGTGTCTTAGGCCATCAATGTGTACTTACATTAACGAGTTTAATTTGGACTTCTCTGTGCATGCTCTTTGAGGTGGACCCCATAGACCTCCATTATATGACTGATAGACATGAACGGTTTGACCTAATAATATAAAAATGGAAAATACTGCTGAAATAAACACGCCTACATCTTGGATACACTTGAGGTAAGCTAAAACATATCAAAAATTAATTTCAAAGTGAACTATCCCTTTAAGCACTGGGGTTTCTAGTAATTTTAGGTATGTGCCTCCTTGCGGCTCTGTACCTGAACAGCACCTCCTTTCATTTGTATCTCAAGCAGGTACTGTAAGAGGTCGTGGTCGTGCTGGGGCCGGTAATAGGGGCCCAGGGCCCCGCGGCTCATACCTTGGTGGCTATTCAGCTGGCCGAGGCATATACAGCCGCTACCATGAAGGAAAACCCAAATTGATGGACAAACCTTACGAGATCATGCCCAATCTAGAGCTGACTGCTGTGAACCAAGTGGGCATGAAGCCTGGCACAAGTCAGTGTGAAATTAAACCACATACATACAGAATTGAACTCGGTTGTGCTCTTGTCCATCCAGTGGAGGCAGAATCTAAAACGATCTGGAAACAGAATCCGTAAACTGTTTTCATTTAGAAAAAAAAAAGGGTTTCTGGATCATTTACTGAAATTGAGCCCACCAGTTAGTTTCACATTCATCTCACAATCAATTAAATTGGAGTTATTCAACAAAATGTAGAGATAAATTTGTAAGACACGTTACTGCCCCTACTGGTCTGGAGAGGAACACCAACTTCCTTTTATTATGACAGCTGCCATAGCTGTCACTGCTTACTCCATTTGATTTTTTTTTTTTTTACTTAAAAGCTTCACTTTTTTCAATTATATGCACAATGTTCAAACAATGCACAAAAACTCTCAAAATGTTATATACCTCCTGATAAAATCAACGTACAGCCATTTGAAAAGACCATTATTAAGGACAATATAGGATCAAACGTTCCAGAGAACTAAGCCATCGATCAAAATACTTTGAGAGTATTTGAGTTTGTTTGTTTGGGCATTGAGTTCAAGGTTCTTTATTTTCCTACTAATCAGCTGCTCTGTCGAAATGAACTGATCCTGCAGAATTCTGATCTGAGATCAGTAAACTCCTGACTGGGGTATTCTGACACGTCACCTAAACCTACTGAGCCTAAGTCTGAATTAACGTGGGGAATGAAAAGAGTTTTTGTGCATGGAAACAGTGTTGTGTGTGTGTGTGTGTGTGTGTGAAAGACAATGCGTACGTGGCTGCATGTGGGTGTGTTTTTTTGTCGCTAATCTTAAGCTGAGTCATACACTTGTTGTAAATGAGGACAGGTTGTGCAAGTCTCATTCTTTTTCCTGCATTCACCCTTTATAATTCTTGCACTTTCTGACTTATCTTTCACTAACATATTTTTACATAAAGTGATTTACAATATGTGCTAATTTAAACCATACATTCTTCAAATTTTTGCCCTTGTTCTAATTGAGCGTGTGTGTGTGTGTGTGTGTGTGTGTGTAGTGGCTCTTCCAGCACTTGGTGCCCAGTACCCTACTGTGTTTTCTGCTAATCCAGCAAATAAGTTAATGGAGGAAGGAAAGATGCACGCAGTGGAGCACCTGATAAACCCTTTGGCCCTCCAGCATGACCCCACAGCTGCCTCGGCCAGTGCAGCGGTCATACCTGCAGTCTCCACACCACCTCCTTTCCAGGTACTGACCTGCACCTCACCATTATAACTCTTAGATAACTCTATGAGCACATTTGTATGTCCACATCTCAAGTGAAAATGCTGTGCTACATGCTACATTAACAGCCAATGAAAATGCCTGGATCGTTAGTGTTTTCTTGCACTTTAAGTTTCCTTTGATACTGCTTTCATGAGACTTGAATTTAAATTGCACAATTAGGAATATTGGAATTAGAATTAAAATGACCTGAAATTCAAAGAAATGAATGTGATATTTTTGGTTTTGGTTTATTTTGATGGTCCCTTTAACACATTCTGTTGACAATAAGTAAGAGTTATTAAGCAGACAGTCTACTATTCTAATCAGAGAGATTAATTGACATGTAGTTACAAAGCTACTTATAGTCAACAGAATGTTCAAAAGGGACCATCAAAATAAAGTGTTACCTCATTTTTAACTAGAAAAGGAAGTCTCTTTTCAAAAGAACTCTGAAAGCCTTGTCTGAAAGCAAAATAAGTTTTTTTTTTAATTTTGAAGGGTTTAAAGGCCTTTACATTTTACTTACTTTAATTCCTATTCAAATTCCAATTTAACTCCCTGTTTATTTAAAGTTCCGACTCATTAATTAAAGGGATTCCAATTCTTAAAATATGAACCAAGACAAGCATAAATGTAACCGCACCTTAACTCTTTCCCCGCCATTGATGAGATTTTTCATCATAACACAACGCTTTTTAACACCGCTACATTGACGAATTTTTGCAGCAATCCGTGTTTTCACTGTTATTCTGTAGGGGGCAATATGACGCATCTTCTGAAATAGCATAGCATCTCCGAATCCAAAAATCAAGTGAAGATCTGCGGAGCGGATAGAAGTTGCTTACACACATTGTAAGCTAACATGATCATCAAACATTCAAACATTTACGAAGAAAAATGTCAGACCCACAAAGAAGTATATGTCTATGCATGCTTTGGGGTGTTAAAGGAGCCGTATGTAAGATTGTGGCCAAAACTGGTACAGCAATCACTTTCAAATTACTGTAGAGAGGTGTATCCCCTCCCCCCTGACTCGAGGTTGCCAGATAGGCTAAAGGATCTAAAAAAAAATGATCTGACACGTTTGGCAACCCGGATGCTGCAACAGTACTGACTTTGTGATTGGTAGACCGGTGGAGGGCGGAGCATCGGACCAAAAGTTGAGGGCTGCAACTTCACTTTTTAAATGACAATATCATGGCCGGACTACTGTTGTCAGTGATATAAGTATTTGAAATTAACATGATTTCTTAATGTCTAGTGACATATCAGGGCCATTTTATGATTATTTGAAATACATTTCTTACATACAGCTCCTTTAATGGACTCAATCTACTAGATCTATGGTTTGATCATGGTTCTGAATCTGATACAGACAGAATCACTTCTTTTTGTACTTAATGTTTTTTTTTATGAACTTTACCCAAATTCAAGTGTTGATAAAAAAGATTAAAGCTAGAATAAAATTGTGTTGTTGTTGTTGTCGAGCAGAGGTTTTTCTTTTTAATATATTCTTTCTTTTCATATAGTTTACACAAGATTTTTGTGAAATTTTGTAAATTTAGTGAGATTTTGTTATCTCTCTCTATCTCATAGGGGCGACCTATAACTCCCATCTATGCTATGGCTCATAATGTCCAGAGGATCCCGGCTACCGCCGCCAGTCTGTACGGGGCTGGGTACATGCCTTTCGCCACCCACGCCAACACTGCCACGCTGGCAGCGCTGCAGAAGAACGCTGCGATGGCTGCCGCTACCTATGGAGGATACGCTGGGTACATGCCTCAGGCCTTCCCGGCCACTGCCACCTTCCAGATGCCCATCCATGATATATACCAGACCTACTGAGATACCCACAGCATCAATCACAACGACTTACAATTATACATCACAGGCCATCTTTACAGTTAACCGATTAACTGAACCACGCAGAGTGAAACTGACATACTCACAACAAAACTAACACCTTATGACTCTCCCTGGAAGCCTTTAGATTTGTGTACAAGTTAATGCTGGCAGCAAGGATGTAGATTTCTGCTAAATTTACTCACAGCTTCATCAGACCCTCTTGCCCACCTTTATTAATCAAGACGTACAACCTAGACCAAAACCACTTTTATATGCTACTGATTAGCTAACTAGGATAGGTAGATATTTGTGTTGTATGTTGTGGACTCAATCCCCTGCAATGTGACCAGAACCTTGCCCACTTTCCCTTTAGACCAATAGAAATCAGTCTGCCAGTTCAACTTTTTAAAGGACTTGACCACACTTGCTGATTTCCGAAGCCATCACACGACTGAATGAATGACAACATGACCGTTTGCATATTTCATCATTCTGCAAAGGTGTTGTTTATTAGTTAATCCCCAGTACTGGGCGGACTGACTCCGAGTGATATGTTCATATGAAGAAATTCAAAACCGAGCATTTAAGACTTGCAGAAGCACACCTACTGACATATCACTTGACATATCTCCCCCACACACTCCAGCTGAGAATCGTGAGCCAGAGCGGTTATGTCATCGCACAATCCTAATACCACTCCTCTGCGTTCACGGCCACAAGAATACCGAAGGAGCATTGTAGTATTAGTGTAACTAATGCCTCGCTATGCTTTAGTGCATTTACTTTTGTTTTGTGAAGAAAACGAAATAGACAAAAAGAACTGTAAATGAACAAAAAATACTGCTGAGCAGAAACTTCAACAACCACAGAAGTAGAAGATTTAAAGTGTTTCTTGAAAATGCTGTATTTTGAGTAAGTGCGAAATGTTTTGAAGATGTCGGAATCTTCCGTCCACTGGGTTTTCTGCACGCGAGTCCTGCGTTCATTTTTCCTCCTTTACGGTTTATTGCTAATGCATTTTTATATTTCGATTATTTTAAGTTTGTACTATTTAGTTGGCTTGAAGACTTTTCAGATGTTGTTTTTATTGTCTTGAGGTTATTTTTTTCTTTTCTTAACTGGAAGATAGACAAACTCTGTTTTTCTTCTCAGAGGCTAAATAAGTTTGTGTTCAAGAAAAGGCAAACTGGAAAAAGAAAAAAAAGTCGGTTGAATCTATGCTGGATAACATTTGTTCTCTTTTAAAGGAACAGATCACCCGAAAATTCTGTCATCATTTATTCACCTTCATCTCATTCCAACACTGTATGACTTAACATAAGAACATAAGAGAAGACATTTTGAGAAATACAGTATTCATGTCTAAAACTGTAGAGTGTGAGCAATGCATTATGGAACCATGAATTAATGGATGTAGATTGAATGCAGTGCAAGTCACTTTGGACAAAAGCGTCTGCCAGTGTTTTTTTTTTTTTTTTTCATACAATGAAAGTGGGAACCAATTACATTTTGGTACAGGTTTTGGAAAGACATGAGGGTGAGTAAATGATTTGCAATGATTTTCAGAATTTTCATTTTTGTTTAAACTAATGCCTTTAAAATGTTTTAAAAGCACAAACTGGACTGACAAAAAAAGTTGCTGGGTTGAGGATACAGCGCCATTTATGATGACTTAAGGTCCATTCACACCAAGAACAATATCTATATTGGCGCCCACAACAACGCACAATATCGTTGTGTTTATTCGCAGCCCGTTCTCATCCCAAGGCGTCATCTAATTGACGCTTTTGAACATGCGTCAACATCTGACGCACACGGCACCCTTTACCATCAATATGAGACGCAGATATATATATAGGTCAGAAGGCGCCCCCTAGTGGTCTAACCCTAATCCTACCCCAGACCTAAACCTACCCATAACAAAAGCGTCATCTAACTGACGCTAAAGGGTGCCATGTGTGTCGGATGTTGACACATGGTCAAAAGCTTAATGGTGTGTTCACACCGAACGCGAATAGAGCGTCAAATATGCGTCTAGTTAGACGCTTGAACATTCGCTCGTTCAAATTTTTCAACTTGCGCGGAAGACCAATTTGCGTCATTCGCAACGCCCGGCGCGAATGATGCGTCTATTCGCGTCTTTACATTGACTTTCTATGTAATCTACTCGCGCAAATAATTAAATTCGCGTTCGGTGTGAACACACCATAAGTTAGATGACGCCCTAGGTATGTGCGCGGTTATGTCGTCTGCCACTTTAAGTGCTCAAGCTCTTTAAAAAGGATGGATTCTGATTGGCTATCAGCTCGGAAAAAAAAACCTTCCTTTGTGTTGTGAAGTGGACTGCTATTCTTTTAAATTTCGAACAATTTTTAAATCTCCATCTATTTTGAAATCGGTATAGTTATCGTCGTTCGTGTGAACGGGTCTTTAGTTCTGCTTACTTGCGCTGGTTGTGTTTTAGTTAATAGTTGATGACCAACTGTGAGCAGCCCTTAGTTTTTCAGAACACTACTGTGATTCCCAGCATCCAGTCCTGTGCATCATTGGGAAAACACAGGCTCCCTTGTATCCGCTTTTGTGCCATTAATACAAACTGCACCTCAAGTACTGTTCCATTTACCGCTGAACCAAATGTGTTGATGTTGTTTATCAACGGTCTTGAGTTGCAGGACAAAATCAGGTTACTGGCATGATTCTCTCATTCTCCCGACCATTATTTCCTCCTATAGATGCGTGTAGACACAGCTGACAGGCCATGGAGATTTATCATTTGTTTTCTTTATTAGTTTTTTAACCCTGCATTTTTGTAGATCACACTCCATATTGTGTAGCTACTGTAGTACGGCATGTGCTAGTAAAGATGACTGTTCTGAGGTGCACTTAAACATTTTTTGGGGGTTTAGAAGTTCTTGTGTATGTACTGTATGTGCTTTATAATATGTGTTTGAGCAGGCACTTTTGTTTTTTAGGGGTATTGCGATACTCCTAGAACTGGAATAAACTGGACCAAACTGAAACCAGGGAGCTCAGAGAACCTGTTAATATCCTCATTGCCTTTTCAATGACTGCTGTATGTAATATCAATGTCCTCTTGAAGAATGTTGTATGCCACCACTATGCCTTCTGTTAGGACTGCGTATGTCACGTGCCTTTATTCAGACTGCTGTCTGTCAAGTGACCTCTTAAACACTGTTTGTAATACCGCAGTGCCTCTTCTCTCCTAGTTTTCTTTCAGAAAGTCAAGTTTTTCTCTTTTTTTTGTTTTGTACTGTTGTGTCTATGGGGGCTCTGAGTGTTAGAGTGCTGCTTTATGTTGTGTTATGCTTTCATGTTCTAACAGAGATGATGTTTTATTAAGTATAGCCTGTTTTTCTTTTTAGACGGGGATAATTTCACAATATACAACCAAACAACGAACGACAATCGAACGCAGTTCACATCACCTAAGCTAGAGACACATTTTTTGCACAGTGCTGCCATCATCGAGGACAATGTCTCTCGGTTATGGCATGTCTGTGTGTTTTTGAGAAAAGTGAACTATCCCCAGTAGTCTGTTATCTAATCTTTTATTATGAGCGAAGCAGTCAGGATATTTAATATATACAGTACATTGTTTTTGTGTATGAAGTAAGAGGAAATGCTATAATATATTTTAAGAAGACTTTTCCATGTCATCTTCTGTGCTTTAGAGAGTTTAACAACAACAAAAACTTTTTCCTTTTTGCCAAAGTGTTCAATGCAACTAAACTAATGTGAATGTGTGCATGTGTGGATATATAAAAGTGGCAATATGGTGTCAATACTGGCCCAAATTGATCATACATTCATTGGCAAAACATGCTTTCTTTTGCGACCATTTCATAAAACACTACATGTGTAGCGTTTTTTTTTTCTTTTCCTTTTTTTTAGACTTGTTTTTTTGTTACTAAAAAACAAATGAACAAGACAAGGTGACCTCGGCTGAGGACATTTAGATAATGAATGCTATTGCCAAAATATTCTTCTTCCTTTTTTTAAGATCTACTAGAGCTGTTTTCTTTCTTGCATTGTTTGTTTAAGGCTTTTTGGCATTGTTGTATTTATAGAGGTAGTTTAATAAAGCATTTTCAAAAAGAGGAGTATGATTTGTGCTTGCCTTTTCTACATGCGTTCTTTGCTCTCAATTCAAAGAAAATGATTTAACCAAAATTATTAGCAATTGTACTCATTTTTAAACAATCATTTTTAATATTTTTAACTTTACTGTTTTATTTCGGTTGTTAAAATGATGTGTAAAGTTCATCAGACAGGGTCTTTCTCAGGGGCGGAGTTAGACTCTCAGTACAGTGGGGGCGGAGCTTCATCATGGGGCCCTCTGCTACGAAGTCATTTTAAAATTAAAACCGGAAAAAAAAGCGTAAAATATTTGATGAATGCATATGTAAGAATGTGTCACTTGTTGAGCCAAGTAATCTTATATGTTAAATAAAACGCAAAGAAAAGCCACATTTTTTACAAGTTTCTATTGACGAACAAAGAAAACAGTTTGCCAGTCTCAGCACCACAGACAGCGATATCTCATTGACAGCGATGGTGCTGAACAGATAAAAAACAAATTCTTACTGACCCCAAACTTTTGAATGGTAGAGAGATTATTGTTACAAAAGCTTTCCATTTCAGATCAATTCTGTTCTTTTAAACTTTCTATTCATCAAAGAATCCTGAAATAAAAATGTAAAAACTGTTTTCAACATGGATAATAATCATAAATGTTTCTTGAGCATCATATTATAATATCATATTATATTTTTATAATATTACAAAATCTGTAGGATCATGTGACACTGAAGACTGGAGTAATGATGCTGTAAATTCAGCTTTGATCACAGGAATAAATTACACTTCACTATATAAACCATTTCAATTGCTATTTGCAGATGGAAGGAAGTGACGTGTTTGGGCCTCAGACGTTTCCAAGTTACCAAAACAACAGACAGAAAACGGTTTTTTTTTATGGCAATTGATCGATTATTTTCTTATTAATTCGATAAAACATGTCCAAATTTAAATTAGGAGCGTGCTGTTCGGTTGTTGGCTGTTCACTCAGGCCCGGAACTAACTTTTCGGAAATTAAAGCTTTTATAGATTTCCGAAAAACAAAAATCAGCGTGACGCCTGGATTACGGCAGTGAAGAGAGAAGGATACCGATTTTTTTTATCAAATAATTGCAGCCTTGGTGAGAAGAAGAGACTTGCATGCTTACACCTTCACCGGAAATACCGCCGTGCATAGAGCCCATTGTTTCAGTTCTCGCGCTCCAGTTCACAAAGATCATAAAGCGCGGCTGATTGTTTTATTTTATTTTACAAAAGCACGTTTTCTTGTTATTGTGACATTACGCAAATAAAAGTAGTTGCGAATAATGTATTATTATTTTCTGTATAACAAGAAATGATAGAGTATTTTAAGTTGTTTCCACTGTTCCACTTTCCACAAATGTCTCCCATCCAGTGCACGCTCAACATTCTGTCCGTACAAATACTTGGACATTCGTCAAAATCGTGTTTATTTGTGATAATTTTAGCCCTATTAGTATTATTATTGACCAACCTGTTCTATGAATAAAATGTGATGAATTGCTTTGTTTTTTGTTTTTTTTGGATAAAAGCGTCTTCTAGCCTAATAAATGTTATAATAGGCTAATGATGATAATTATTGTTATTTGCGGACACGGACCCAAAACACATTCCGTCTTCTAAGTCAGGTGACTGTAAATGCGCAAAACTCGTTTCCATTTCAGTTTTGCGAAAAAAATCCTTTTTCGAATTGCCTGAAAAACCTCCTCAGGCGAGTTTTTTTGTGAAATGTGTTTCCATTGAGCGTATTTTCATTTCGCAATTTCAATTTGCGTAAATTGAAGGGTAATGGAAACGCTGCTAGTGATGCAAGATCGGCGTTTGAGGGGCCCCTAATTGGCACGGGGCCCTGGGACGGCCACACCCGCGCTTTCTCTGCTACAGGTCTTTCTCAACTGGAGATGTCTTTTGGTGATGAACAATGACTTCAAGTGTACCAAATGGTTTTAGTTAGAGCACAGAAGACCAATCATGTTACTGAAACATTAGTTCAAAGTTTGGTTCCAACTCTTAATTGCCTGGTTTCATAAACAGGGCTTAGATTGAGCCAGGATTAGGTATTAGTTCAATTAATAAGTTCAATGTGCCTTAGCAAAAGACTTTACTGATGCGCACCTTGAGACAAAATAATGGCACTCACATATTTAAAGATATGTCATTGCACGTTGATTTCAGTTAAAACAGATCAAACATGCATTTTAGTCTGAATAAGTTCCTGAAGATCTTAATTAGTTGGGTTCAGGTGTGTTTGATTTGGTTTGGAACTGAATTTTGTAATACATTAGTTTGTCCTAGAAAAGGATTAAAGAACTTATGAACTATTGTGATATTTAAAGGGATAGTTCACAAAAAAAATGAAAATTCTATCATTACTCGCCCTCATGTAGCTCCAAATATGTGAATAAAATCCTGAATTAAATCTGTTCATCATATAAAGCGATCGTGTCTCTTTAGAAAAATCAGACTAAACCGCTCAATTCATGTAATCTTTATGAATTTTTTGAGGCGTCAGTGTGGCTGTTGCATAGCTGTCAACGAAGGGACAGAAATCTCTCAGATTTCATCAAAGACATCTTCATTTGTGTTCCGATGATGAATGAAAGTCTTACACCTTTGGAATAATGAGGGTGAGAATTTGAATTTTTAGGTGAACTATCCCTTTAAGATTCAAACATGCAGTACTGTTTGTACCACTAGGGGGCAGCAGTGCAGAGAGACCAGATCAAATGGCATCTGAGCACCTGTGTTATTGTAATATGTAATATGGCTGAAACTGTTAGTTTTTTCTTAACATGGCCTTTAAGTGCAAGGAGGTTGTTCCTTTTTCTTTGTCTCAAGAAGCTATTTAGTAAGTGTCATATTTGACATGATATGGCTTGCTGAATTGGTTATTATTGCCACTCCCCAGTAGTATAAATTATGCAAGGTCAGCCAAGAGGAAACAGGCTTTATTTAATGTGTTTTTCTTGGTAAATAGGGTGACATAAAGTGAAGTGGAATGTTTCATGATTGATTGCCCTTTAAATATCAGCAAAAAAATCAAATGTTAATAGTTGCCACAAGGGTAGTTGTCATTTCAAATGTTTCCATTTTCATCACAATCATGCTTCACAGTAGATATAATCAAGCTTCAAGCAAATAAAAACACTTAAACACAAGCCACCGTACAGAACACTTACGAATAACATTTATGGTAGTTTTTAATTATTATTTGAATTTTTAATGAAAATTATTAATCATTACACTGTTATGGCATCACACAAACCATAGTTTGGGTCTGTGTATATTTGGGATGTGGATATTATCAGGAATTTTATATTTATAGTAACTTGGAGGAAATATTTTCTTGGAAAAATAATTTACGTAAAGTATATACTAAATTTACTGAGGACTTATGTAATGTTGGCACTCATTGAATGGTTCTTGCTGCAGAATCGTCTGCGCTGAAAGTACACAAAAATCCCAAAACTTTTTTTTTTTAATTTTATCAGAGTAATATAAAAGAGGTCACACTGTACAATATGTGTTCAAGGGGCATTCATAAGCACTGTATAAATTCAAGGAGACACATTAAACAAGGGCACGTGACAGTATTTTCAATGTCTCGCTGGACATGAAAAATATGATAATGGTCATAAATTTAGCACCAGTTTCCACAAAATTTTTACAATGCTTTTGAATGCTAATGATTCATCCAGTACAGGGTGGATGCACAGTGCAATAATAAATGTGTTTAAGACGTGTGGGTTTTTTTATTTCCTCAGTCACACCACAGACTGAGAGGCATGGCGCTGGTCCTCTGAGTAACGCCTGAACTGTTCCCCTAGCAACGGCTCCAGGCCCTCGGCTGAGCGGTAAGAGCGTGCCCGAACAGCACACCCGATGACTCCGCCCACCACAGCCACGACAAGCACCACGGCTACAATCGCTATGGTGATGATCTCTGAAATAGTGTATGAACGAGCTGGGGAGGGAGAAAGAGAGAGATTTTTTTGGTTATATATCTACATGTACTGTTTGTAGTGTGTATGTACTCCTAATCTGTGTGCACTAACTTGTTTAGGTTACATGCAGACGTGTGAGTTAGCATACTTGGCCTTCACATGTCATTTTCAATGTCATTTTTTAATTGTACAAGTGTGGCGGCTGCCATTGCTCTCATGTTGGTTTGCTAAAGGGCCTTTAATCTGGTGTCGTGACAAATAGGGCCATTACTCGAAATTGGGTCTCCATTAGGACCCCAAGAGATCCTATTGACTTTAAATGAGTACTCTCTTTAATGTGATTCCTACAATATCTAGCCCGATCTCATGAGAAAGCGGATTTTACAAGATGATGATTTGGTATGAATTCATACGATGTGATTTGTGCAAAAATGTATGATTTATGGGAAAAAAGTAAGCACGAAGGTCCACCTCTAAAGCTATACCATAAGTGGGACATACACAGGTTTTTAGCATACAAAATCGTGTAATAAAGATTCACAAATTCATTCAGTTTAGCCACCAATTCGGCAAAACGTAAAATAGTTATGAATTTCCATGAGATTGTGTTGACAAAACCGTGCTATGATTCATGTTGTTTGATATGTTATAATGAGTATTAAAGGAGTAGTTCACTTTTAAAAAAACTTTTGCTGATAATTAACTCACCCACATGTCTTTCAAGATATCCATGTCATTCTTTCTTCAGTCGAAAAGAAATTAAGGTTTTTGATGAACACATTCCAGGATTTTTCTCCATATAATGCACTTCAATGGGAACCAAACGGTTCATGGTCCAAAAGACAGTTTCAGTGCAAACTGCAAACTGTTGAAAGGGCTTTAAACGATTTCAGACGATGAATAAGGGTCTTATCAAGCGAAACGTTTGGCCGTTTAAAAAAATAAATAACAAAGTTTAAGTTTTAGAAGCTCAAATGCTCGTCTTGCTCTGTTCTGTGATGCGCGTTCGTGAGTCTCCTATTCGAACTCGTTTATCAAAATGAACAAATCTTTTTTCGTGTCATTTGGTATATTCAACGAACGAAATGAACGACTGAGGAAAAGATTTGTTCATTTTGATGAACGAGTTCGAACAGGAGAGTCACGAACGCGTGTCACAGAACAGAGCAAGACGACCATTTGAGCTTATAAAATGTGAAATTTGTTTTCATCGCCGTTTAAAGCCGTTTAAAAAGCCCTTTCAACAGTTTGCACTGAAACTGTCTATTGGACCTTGAACCATTTGGTTCCCATTGAAGTCCATTATATGGAGAAAAATCCTGGAATGTTTTCATCAAAAACCTTAAATTCTTTTCGACTGAAGAAAGAAACACATGGACATCTTGTGAGTAAATGGGGTGAGTAAATTATCAGCAAAAGTTTTTTTAAAAGTGAACTACTCCTTTAAAGGATAGTTAACCCCAAAATTAAAATTGTCCCAATATTTGCTCCCCATTAAGCCATCTTAGGTGTATATATTCTGGCTCTTCCATATGACTCCAGCTCCAGGGTTATTAAACGCCTTAAATATCCATATTTAAACCTTTATAATCACTGGCTTACGGCAAATGCGCTCGTTTATAAGAGTTACGAGGCTTTTGCAAGAGGTGTCTGTTGGCCCTGTCCCAAATGGCACACTTCATATGCACTTACAGATTTATTAACTGTTTTGATAAATGGATGCGCTTTGAGGTCTATGATTCAGAGCTTCAAAAACTTTAATATTGAATATTGAATGCCATTCCTAGGAAGAGTCTGGATATTATGTAATATTACTTCGATTGTGTTCAGCTGAAAGAAGAAAGACATATTTGGATGGCTTGAGGATGAGTAAATTGAACTATTCCTTTAATGTCTATTTTAGTTATCTTACGTACAGTACTAGCATATTTCAAATTAATATTGTTTGTGTGATTGATATAACTCTTATCGCCATGAGACTGTTTGATGAAACAGATGAACATGCCTTCCGCAAATCAGTAAATCAGTGACTTCCCGATGATTTTACTTTTAACATGGCTTAAATATTATCAACCCGGTCTCATCCCAAGACGTCATATAACTGACGTTTTGGGACGTCTTTTGACCATACGTCAATATTCGCCTTTTTAGGGCCCCCTTAAACGTCGGTAGATGAGGTTATGGGATCCTAACTCTACCCCATACCTAAACCTAACCCTTAACCTAACCCGTCACCTAACTGACGTTAAAGGTAAAGCGTCAGTTGTATGACGGCCCGGGATCGCCATCTACCGACGTTTAAGGGGGCCCTAAAAAGGCGGATATTGACGTATGGTCAAAATACGCCCCAAGACGTCAGTTATATGACTTTTTGGGATGAGACTGTGTTACTTAAACAGGAAATGTGCACCACAAGATAGGCTACACCCTCTTTATTCTCTTGTAGGAGGCATGATAAATATATTTTTTAACCAATTCTGTTATAAATATAATAGTTAAGTCTCTTTTGATTATGTGGGTCATATGACTCTGTCAAATTCTTGCTATTCCTTTTGTCAGCCTGACCTAAAACCAACACGTTCGGCCATGGTGGCTGCTGTCTGACTTTGTGTGAAGTAATTTTATATCAATCTTAAAAAAGAGCAATCAAACTGGAGTAGTTCATTTTACTCACTCCCATGTCATCCAAGATATCCATTCTTCATCAAAATGAACAAATCTTTTTCCTAGTCATTTGATTTATTCAATGAACGAATTGACTCGGAAAAAGATTTGTTCATTTTGATGAACGAGTTTGAACAGGAGAGTCCCGAACGTGCATCACAGAACAGAGCAAGACGAGCGTTTGAGCTTATAAAACTTAAACTTTGTTATTTTTTTTTAAACGAGCGATCGTTTCGCTTGACAAGACCCTTATTCATCATATGGAATCGTTTAAAGCCCTTTGAACAGTTTGCAGTTTGCACTGAAACTGTCTTTTGGACCTTGAAGCGTTTTGTGTAAAGTGCATTATATGGAGAAAAATTCTGGAATGTTTTCATCAAAAACCTTAATTTCTTTTAGACTGAAGAACGAAAGACATGGACATCTTGGATGACATGAGGGTGAGTAAATTACCAGCAAAAGTAAAAAAAAAAAAATGAACTACACCTTTAAGATGCTGTCATATGTTTTATGCAACAACAAAAAAAGATGCGAGCAATTGATGCCAATTATCTTTTTTTGGGGGTGGGGGGGGGGGGGGGGGGGGGGGATTATTACTTTAAGTAACCTAACTTATACACTTAAAGTTATACTAATGAAGCTTTCCAGAAATGAAGGTTCACATGGTTTATGTTGTTTTGTTGTTGTTTTGCCGTCTATGTTATCACTTACTTGGCCATTGAACCTCATAGGTGTAGCCCAGATTGTCTGGGGCAGTAACAAACATTTCAGCATTTCTGACTGGTGGCCAGAAAGGGACCATGTTGAACTCTCTGTTGTGACCAATCGGAGCATTTTCCTCAGGATAGGCCACTGTTCCAGCTGCATTTGCACAGAGAACACTGGTTAGGATGCAGCTGAAGCATGAAATTCTTTTTGGTTAGTGATATATGTCCTGTATGTTATATCTGTGTGTGTGTGTGTGTGTGTTTTACCAGCAGTGTGCCGCTGAAGCCATTCGTCAAAAATGGCATCAGTGAACGTGTGAAGCAGGACAAAGATGGGGTCGTTTGGTGACAGGTGAGTCTGTCCACCTGTGCCATTTAGAAACAAATGAGCCAGGTTGTGCAGACTCCTCACTACTGGGTCATAGTTTCCCTGAGGAGCGCTGTAACCTAGTGACACAACAGAACACCAATTAAAAGTCTCCTTGTTTCTCCAACAGGCTGCAAAGAGTTTATGCAGGTGGTTGGTTGTTTGTTTGTTGTGCTAGTCTCTGTCTGTGGTGGCTCCAAACTTGTTTATTTTAGAAACACTGTTGTCTGCAGCTGTGTGTGTGTGTGTTTGTGTGTTATACCCTCAATAGTGTTCCTGAAGCTCTGAGAAGAAGTTGAGTAATACGGTGGCGTGTCGAAAGTGTTCAGCTCTAGACAGTCAATGACATCCTGTGGTTGTGGTAATCTCTGAACCATGGGTCGAGCCACATTACCAGCAGGGTTTCTTCTGATCGGACTTGACTCTGAATCTGAATACACACCAAAGAGGAGAAGGTACATTTTGATTTTGAACAAATTCATAATTTGTTTTGAAAACACATTAAAAATTCAATTTAATCAGACTGACTTGAAAACGATTTTTTAGTAATGTGTATATTTTAAATTTCTGAATCAAAATTAATTTTTGATATTCAACTTGGAGGCATTTCATAAAGTAAAAAAAAGGTCTGGGTGGTACAACTGAACTGACATCATAATAAGAAAAAAAAATCAAATTAAACTTCTCATGAAGTCTCATATAAATTTTATACAGGAACAGCTTTTTTTTCTTAGGAAAAAAAAACATATCAATATTGTAACAAAGCTGCTTAACTGCTTATTAATATTTGAAAAACCTTTGTCAGCCAAATCTCGTGGTATGGCCAATACAGTCAAATGGTCTAACAACTAACAAGGAATAATAGTAATAATAATAATAACAGTAATCTACTAATAATGAAAATTACCCCTAAAAGACCACCATGGCTGTATGTCAAGGTCAATAAGTCTTTAAAATATCAAATAACCTTTTTATGATAATGCATGATTTGTTCAGGCTGTAAAATGTCATGTGGTGTAACTCCCCAAAAAGAAAATGATTTTTATTAACTATTAATTCATATTTGTAAAAATATTTATCTAATATATATATATATATATATATATTTGGAAACTTAAAGAAAATAAGAATTAGTAAGTTTTGACACATATATTCAAGGAAAATATGTTATTACTTCTTACTTGATAGTTGCACCTCTTGACATCAGTGTAACTGCAGTTTTTTAAATTTTTCAAAACCAAACATTTTTTCAAAACCAAAATGAATAAAACACAATTTTTTTTAAAGATGCTTGGCAGTTCATTGTGATCTGTCATTACTCTTTGACCCACGAGCCAAATCTCTTCACGAGCTCTCGAGGACTGTGAGAAAGAAGCATCATAAGATTGAATATTATACTATTCCGTTTGTCTGCAATCGTGAGTCACATACTTGCAAATACTATCACATGATCCTAATCGTTCTGCCCATATAAGGTTTGATCTTTTTTCTGAGCTCTCGAAATGCCTCAAAGGATTAGTTCAAACAGCATGTGAGCAGTCTTAGGTCTTGGAATGCATGAGTGTGTGTGTCTTTCTGTTGCAGATGGTCTCCAATGTCTCACACTCCCCCACACTCTCACAGATCTACCAGCGGGGAGAGGACACAAAATTGAACGTGTGTTTCGGTAGAATTCTGTGTATATATGTTTGAGTGATGTGTGTGTTACTGGTATGTTGTGCGAGTGTGTCGTACTGTTGCAGATGGTCCCCAGTGTTTCATACTCCTCCACACTCTCACAGATGACTCTCCACTGAGAGAACACAGAGTTGGAACTGATGGCATTGGTGTCAAAGCTGCTTCTGGCTCCTAGCAGGTCATCAGTGCAGATATCACACTCGTTTCCTCCTATAGCAAAGTTCCAGTACGGCAGGGCAAACGACGGGTCCTCCAGCATGTCCTGCACACACACACACACACACACACACACGCATATCCCCAACGTGTCCCATTAGCTGATTTTTCAATCAAATGGGAATTGTTGGTATTTCTGCTCACTGCACAAGATAAAAAGACTTGCCGAATTGATTTTTCTCGAGTAAAGCATAAATCTAACAAAACTTTAGACGTTTATGCTTAAAACAAGAAAATTGTACAAATGAGGGGTAAAAATCGTTTTAATTCAAGATAAATTCTCTAAAAAAAGTTTTTAGTTCTCAAGAAAATTTGTTTTAAGGATATTTAGATATTTTTATTGGAAAGCAACAAAAAACTGATTAATCATTTTTTTCTACCACATGAGAAAAAAGGCTTTTCATTATTATGAAAAGTCATCATTATAGCATTGAAAAACTCTAAATCAAAGCCATTTTTATCTACCGTATATTCTTTATAATTTAAAGCTACATTGTGTGATTTTTACTCCCATCTAGCGGTGAAAAGGTATATGACCATCCAGTGAATATTAGTTTCTGTTCCGATTTCGTTTTAACTCCTACGGTGGCCAATGTAGTCCAAAATTAACATGGCTTCCAGTTCGACCTCGTCCATGAGTGTTAACTCAAACGTAAACGCGAAAGGCGAAGCTTGAATTAACGGGTATGTCCCTCTTTGGCTAATGTACTTTCAAGATGGAGGGGCAACATGGCGACCGACATTAGAACCCCTTACCCGTATGTATTTTCAATGGCATATTATACACTCACGAGAATACTTTATTACTTGAACCAAGTAAATACCCATTAATGAGCACATATATATTTTTGAAAGAGTTTTTAGCTAAGAATAAACTAAAAGAGTTACACAGTGTAGCTTTAATGTCTGAATTTGGACTTTCTATGACATCTATGATGTGCAAGTCATAACTTTGTTTCCTATGTGGCATAAATGGCCTTCCATTAGTGAAGTTTCACCCCACAATGATCTAGTTTTTATTAGTCTCCTTCATCTCATTTCAAAACCAATATGACTGACTTTCTTCCACTGAATACAAATTAAATTTTAAAGAAGTTTTCAAGAATACTTGATCTTTCTAGCCTTAAAAAGAATACCAAACCATCATAAAAGTGTGCCAAATAACTTCTGTGCCCTATTCCAAGTTTCTGAAGTCATATGATAACTTTGTATAATAAATAGATTAATCATAATTTTCCTAAACTTGTCCCTGTTTCTCACCAACAGCTATGATTTTTAGAAAACTACTAAGATAGAGGGCACGGTAAAGATCCAGTTCGCATTTGAGAAAGAAAAGAAAGACCAGTGCATTCCTTGAAATATCTCCTTTTGTGTTCCATGAAATAAGAAAGTCATACAGTTTTGGAATGAAGTGACATTATTTAACAGGTTTTGTAATTCAATTTCCTGTTTTGTAATTATCATTATCATGATCTGTGTCACCTGCATGTCTCTCTCCAGTTGCAACAGGTGGTACCGGTGCCATGTGACAAATCCTGGTCCTTCGTGGGAGAAATCCACACCTCCGAAGCTCTGCTGGCCTGGACCCATGTAAGTCTTACTGACCGAATAGTAGTGGGTCCAGACAAAGTAATTATAGATGGTGATGTTCTCAAATTGATCAGGGCCGGAAATCTCCTGATAGCGGCGGGTGCAGATGACCAGGTCGGGATGGACGGTTCTTTTAGCCTGGTCCAAAGCGTTCACAAAGGCTCTTTTCTCATCCGTAGACATCTGCATGACGTTACGTCGCACTGGGAACACAAACAGAGCCAGGTGAGAAAGAAAACAAAGCAAACGCATGTGTACTGTATGTATTTGTATGTGCAGCGCATGTTTGGGATGTTTATTCTCACCCACAGTGACTCTTTGATCACAGTTTGGCCCTGTCAGACCATGTCGGCATTGCCCACAGTTAAATCCACTGAAGTTTCCGTTGCATTGGCAGGTTCTGTTAAAGAACCGCAGTGGCCATCGTTCTCTATCATCCCGGCCATCGTGAGGATACTGAGGCCCGTGTGGGCGACGGTCAGCGGCAATTGACACGCATTGACCTCTGCCAGTACTGGATCCACACTCATCATTGGGCAGTCCAGTAGGTGATGGGCAGCAGGTGCCACTCTGCAGACCCTCTAGTGTCACACACTGACGTGGGAACTGAGCGTGCGTCAGCACAACGCACATTAGCACTAAACACACACTCTTCAGCATCCTGGAAAGACAAATATGAACCCCGCATATATTATGGATAATGGGTTAGTTCTAGAGCCGGACCTATATATCGGCAGGCCGATATTATCGGTCGATATTAGGCATTTTCCAAACTATCGGTATCGGCAGTTATTATGGCCGATAAATGAATATTTCAAAAATAAAATAAAAACGGACTAAACACGCTTGAAGTTGAACCATGTCATGAGTGTTGGAGTTGTATAGTTTGTCCACCAGAGGGCACTCTACACGGTCCCTGTTGGCAACACTCATTGAGTTGGTCACATTGCTTGAATAACAATTAAAAGAACATCCACATCAGTTCTCTTAACTCAAATAAGCATGACAAAATTTGTGACTATCATGTCCAGTTTTGCTGCTGTTAAATAAGCCGAGAGTGAAGCGGAATTAGCTAGTTATAGTTATGTTACGTTGTTACAGTGTAGTTGACTGATTGTCCTTTGGACAATGTGTCTGAAGTATTTCTTTAATAGCGCGTGACAGTTACAGCAATGCCTCCTTGGCCTGTTATATTGAAAATGTATGTTTTACAATTTGCAGTTTGACGTTGTCCATTGCTAAATTATGGCTCATCATAGACTAGCTAACCACAAAGCTAGCTAATAAAAGAAACAAATTTCTTTTTAAAATGCATTATCGTATTATTTTCGTTAAAACTCATAAATAAATACAAATACATAATGTTAGGGAAATCTGTTAATGTTTTGTTGCGCGTTTCTGAAATAAAAAAAGAATAAATAAAAAAATATCGGCCGATATATCGGAATATCGGATTTTAAATCCAACAAATATTTGTATCGGTATCGGCCTTCAAAATCCTTTATCAGTCGGGCTCTAGTTCACCCAAAAACTAAAATTATCTCATAATTTAGCTACCGTCAAGCCATCCTAGGTGTATATGACTTTCTTCTTTCAGTCAAAAAAAATCCGAGCTTTATCCAAAAAAAATATCCTGGCTCTTCTTAGCTTTATAATGCAAGTGAATGCCACCCCAAAAAATCCATCCATCATAAAAGTCATCAGCTCCAGAGGGTCAATATAGGTCTTCTGAAGTGAAGCGGTGTGTTTTTTAATATTCATATTTATAATTTTATTAACTTTAATCACTGGCTTCCGGTAATAGCCGTACGCGAGTCGAGTTCTGGCGGAAAAGTGACCTCTGACCTGACATATGACGTATTGACGAATGAGGAAGCGGAGAGGATAGAGCAAAACACAATATCAATCATAATCGGAATTAGAAGGCTAATACGAGAATTTTTAAATAGAAAGGTCGGAGAAGCTCGCGTCCTATTTTTTTGGACTGCGAGAGGCATCTACTCTCACCTAAGCTTACGCTACTCCTACATCCTCAGTCATGCGTCGGGTCAGAGGTCACTTTTCCACTGGATCTAGACTCATGTCCGGCCGTTACTGCAAGCCAGTGATTGCAGTTTATAAAGTTATAAATATGGATATTTTTCTTACAAAAATGCATCGATTCGCTTCAGAAGGCTATTATGAACACTCCGGAGTTGGATGGATTAGTTTTAACATGGATGGATGCACTTTTGTGGGCTTCAAATTCTACGGTACCATTCACTCCCATTATAAAGCTTGGAAAAGCCAGGATGTTTTGACTCTGAATTTGTTTGGCTGAAATCAGAAAGTCATATGCACCTAAAATGGTTTGAGGGTGAGTAAATTATGGGATATTTACCCTTTAAAGGATAGTTCACTTAAAAATTACAATTTTGTCTCAGTTACTAAACCTCCTGCCATTACAAACCTGTATTACTTTGTTCTATTGAACACAGCACATGTTGAACAGAAGGAGAATCATACAGGTTTGGAGAGGAACATCTAATGCCAATATCTAATGATCGTAAAAAAGCTTCCTTTAGTGCCTTTAAAAGTAAATTGGCTAATTTCACACTAATTTTCAAACTAATTTCAAAAAAGGTTACCCTTTATTTAGATGGTCCACTTTAGACATACTACTAGATGACTTTCCAACTACATGTCAACTTACGCATTAGATTATTAGTAGATTATCAGGTTAGGGTTGGGTGTTTGGGTTAGGGTTTAGTACAATAAGTTGACATGTAGTTGTAAAGTTTCTTATAGTTAGTAGACGGTTTGAAGTGGACCATCATAAAAGAAGTGTAAAAAATCAGTATTTTTGTCTCATTTCCAAGAAGAGATACAGTAGGCCTACCTAAACTTAAGAAATTGATAAATGTGTCGGCAAAATTGCATGAGATTTTAAGAATTGATTTCAGAAAATATATACTTGTATACTATTGATCTTAAGATGATTTGAACTCATTATTTTCTTGTTTTAAGCATAAAACTTTCAAAAATATTATTAGATATGCTTAAAACAAGGAAACAAAAATTGTTACTTTATTTTATTTACTTATTTAATTTTACAATTAAACTGGATAAATTACATGTGAAGAGAAAATGATTTAATCATAAAGTGTTATGGTTTTGCTTCAGGAAAAAGAGTAACACACTCATTATCTGCAAAAGAAATGCTATAGGCCTGAGGAAGCTGGTAAAGATTTTGAGATCAGTGCAAAAATGTGCACAGTAAAGATTCTTACTGCAGAAGATCTGAAAAAACGTGAGAAATGTATTACCCTGTCAGAGAGAAACAATGGAAAGCAACAGTTGATTTTTTTTTTCGCTCTCATTTTTCTTTTTTGAACTAGGCTTGCAGTTGTATAACAGCCTTCCAGAAACATCTATGTTATAGACTGTTCAAACTTCACAACCTCAAACTGTCTAACTTTTAGACTGGTTATGTCCTCAGAGTAAACCCACACACAGATCGCATAAACAGTTCTTAAAAAATAATAATAAAATCAATTGTTTCCTTCATCGATTTGTCATCTCAACACTTATGATAGCAAAAATAACCTGACAATAAATCACACGCATTTAACTCACCCTATTCTCATCATTAATTCTGAACTGATTTATTAACAACAATTCATCCATGTCATGCCCTATTGTGGGCCGTAATGTCAGTCTTTAAACAATGCAATGATATAAAGTTGATTATAAAAAATAGATAGAAGTAAAAGTACCTTATATCATCAGTTCTTTTCTGCCCCACTCTTTCTCTCACACACACTAGTTCCCCCCTGTGCTGCCCCCTGTCCAACTCTTTTATACTTACACCCCTCCTGACTGCACTCATCTCTCTGATCCCTCCATCCCGTGATCAGCAGCCGGTAGAGGAAGGGAGAGGAGAGAGAGAATGGGTAAAGACAGAGTCCACAGATTTATTACTTCTTTAATTAATGTGGTTCTTCATTTACGTATTGGTTTGACATTTTCAAAGGTCTGATCAGTGATCTTTGCTTTCATAACAGGCAAAAAAAAAAAATGGACTGAAACAAACCATTTATGTAAGTGGAAAGTGTTGTAGAGGAATAATGGAAAGACTAACATTTAAATCGTTAATTCTGCACACATTCACAGTTACATTTGAATTAGTACATGCCAAACTTAAACAAGTTTTCTATGGAATTGGACATGCGTTTACAAGTAAATGGAAATATTTTAATGCAAGAAATTGATGTGAATTGCAACTATGTTCAGTTTTTTTTTTTTTTTTGTCCAGTCTTGTTTTTTTCAGTAAAATATCCAAACAGTCTTAAAACAAGCATTATATGATAAGACTTAAGATTTTCACAAAATAAATATTGAATTAGATTATTTATCTCACCCCATGGGCAAATTGTTTTTAGATGTTTTGAGTAAGAAAAAGCTCAATAAAAACTCAATTCTAAAAAATATTTTCGGAAAACAAGTCTTAATATTTTATGCAGTTTTGCTTTTCTAGTAAATATATATACCCCCCCCCCCCTTAGCTGAGAAACCAGCACAAAAAAGTATACTTTTCATCCTTGTGTACATGCAATAGCTAGATGTTATTATAAACTCTGCTTTTTAACACGCTGAAAAAATGTCTTGTTTTCCAGTAGAAATATATTATGTCTTGAATCAAGATACATTTACTTGAGATTGAAAATGGAATAAGCAAGTCTTGTTTTTTCAAGGCAATTAAGTTTATTCTTAATACCAGAACAAATATCTGCCGATGAAATGATGTCAGAAAAATAATCTTAAACCTAATTCAAAGGGAAAACAAGATCATTGGCAGATATTTTTTTCTCATTTTAAGCAAAAACTCACTAAAATGTCATCCGTTTTTCAGAAAACAATAGCTGATTTCTTATGTAATTTTGCCTTATTTTTGACTCATGTTTAGATATTTGTACTGGAAGACAAGACAAACATACTGGGTAAGAAGATGTTTTTTATTTGCAGTGCAAATAATAGGTCATTCTTCTGTACGGGGAACAACACATGAATGACATTTGCAGTCAAGGTTAACCAGACCGTTCAATACACATATAGACTCACACACATGTTCAGACACTCAATCATTTACACACTTGCACATCTACTCCTTAAGGTCAGCAATGCTAAACAGCAGAGGTTCTGGGTTCATAGGACGAATTCTTCTCTGTGGAATCCAGTGGGACAGTTGTCATGGCAACGTCCTCTTGCTGGACCTGCGAGTACTCTGGAAGGTCGTCTACAGCACTTCTGTAAGCACAAACAATCGGTCACAATGCATGTTTACGGTCCTCGTAATCAGGATGAGTATGTGTGTGTTGCTCGGAGACTCACTGTTCATCGATTGGGATGGTGGTATCTGTGTTGTTTGCGTCACATGCTATACCCCCGTTTTCTCCTGCACACTGGTTCTTTGGGGCCACACTGTTGCAGATCAAATATATATATATAGGAATATTATCCTTAAAGTACGTAGTAAAAATAAATGCAGCCTTGGTGAGCATAAGACTTCTTAGCTCTTAAAACTCTTATGCTCTTAATTTACTCACCCCCATGTCATCCAAGATGTCCATGTCATTCTTTTTTCAGTCGAAAAGAAATTAAGGTTTTTGATGAAAACATTCTGGGATTTTCTCCATATAATGGACTTCAATGGGAACCAAACGGTTGAAGGTCCGAATGAGAGTTTCAGTGCAGCTTCAGAGGGCTTTAAACGGCACCAGACGATGAATAAGGGTCTTATCTAGCGAAACGTTCGGTCATTTAAAAAATAAATAAAAAAGATTAAGTTTTATAAGCACAAATGCTCGCCTTGCTCTGTTCTGTGATGCACGTTCGTGACTCTCCTGTTCGAACTCGAATCTTTTTTCGAGTCATGACTTGAAGGTTCCTAGATAAGACCCTAATTCATTGCCTGGTGTCGTTTAAAGCCCTTTGAAACTGCACTGAAACTCTCATTTGGACTTGAACCGTCTGGTTCCCAATGAAGTCCATTACATGGAGAAAATGCTGGAATGTTTTCACCATAAACCTTATTTTCTTTTCAACTGAAGAAAGAAAGACGTGGACATCTTGGATGACATGGGGGTGAGTAAATTATCATCAAAAGTTTTTTTAAAAGTGAACTACTCTTTTAAAAAAAAAAAAAAAATTCTCACTGACCCCAAACGTTTGAGCGGTATATACACAAATTATATCTTACGAATTTGTATGAGCAGTCTAATTCGTACAACCTCAATCGAATTCGTACGATTTGTCTAAACCCCAGTGATAGGTTTAGGGATGGGGTCAAGGGTAGGTCATTCACACAAATTCATACGAATTGGGCAATTCGTAAAAATATGTTGCAAAAATCACACAAATTCGTACGAGTGAGGTCATATGAATTTGTACGAATTCGCTACCTCATAATATTCCTGTTGCTCACTCATAGGGATCTTGTACTGTAAGTCACTTTTGATAATGCATTTGACAAATGCATTTTTGTGCACGCGTGTAATTTCTACTAAAACACTGTATAGATGTAAATATTATACATATATTCTCATACATGTCATCAGTTATTATAGTGAAGTTCCAATAACTACTTCTCTTTCAAAGATCCTAAAATGACACAAACCTGTTTGGCTTTCTCCTGCACTTCAGAATGTAAACTATGGTGACAGCAGTTTGCAGAATGAGAAAGAAAGCTGCTGCTATAGCTCCTATCTTCCAAGTGTCCTGCCCTATGGCTTTGGTCTCTGAAGCGTGAAAGAGAGAGAGAGAGAGAGAGAGAGAGAGAGAGAGAGAGAGAGAGAGAGAGAGAGAGAGAGAGAGAGAGAGAGAGAGAGAGAGAGAGAGAGAGAGAGAGAGAGAGAGAGAGAGAGACAGAGAGAGCGAGAGAGAGAGAGAGAGAGAGAGAGAGAGAGAGAGAAAGAGAGAGAATGTACTGTCAAATATAGAAAGTTACATAAATCAAAAAAAGAGAAATGAGCAGGTGTGCCTCTTTATAGAGCCTACCATCTGGCACTTTCCAGTATAGGGAAACTCTTAAAAAAAGTATTTGATTATATTTTTAAAACAAATGGGCTGTGGCAGGTGCATGAAAACATCATCATCAGGAGCTCAAACTGGTTTGAAACTCAAACTCAACTGCTCAAACTGTTTCAAACTTTGCAGCCCTGTCTAAATAGTGTAAAACTTTTATTTAATGATAAACAATAATGAACATCAAACTTAGATAGAAACGATAGATAGATAGATAGATAGATAGATAGATAGATAGATAGATAGATAGATAGATAGATAGATAGATAGATAGATAGATAGATAGATAGATAGATAGATAGATAGATAGATAGATAGATAGATAGATAGATCATACAGGGTTGCGTTTAAAAGATCACATTTTTGGTAATTAAAATGGATAATTTGAAATTGTTTTTGCAAATGTGTTTACTTATTATTTCTATTTTACTTTAGCCGCGTTTCCACTGCAATTACCAGGAACTATTTGTCCCAGGAACTTTTTTCATAGGAACTTTTTTTTGCCCCAGACCGCTTGCTTACTGCATTTATGTGCGTTTACACCACGGACTAAAGTACTGGTCCGCGGGCCGGGGTGGGAAGATTATGTAGTGACGTTGAACTGCGTGCGACTGCTCCTCCCAGTCTACGCGTTTGTTTTGAGTTTTTTATGAAGGAGATTCAAGCTGTGCTGTTTTTGTGTGCGATTGGTTTACTAACGATACAATTAAAAAAAAAAACAGCAGAAAAGAGACGAGCACCCAAAGCATATTCAGAAAGCTCGTAATGCTAGATATAAAAGTAGACGTTTGTTATCAGTGGACATTGACCGTGAGATGGATGGGATGAACGCGCACCATCGGGCAGAAAGAACAAGTGGTAAGGACCAATCAGCATGTTCAGTGCACAAAAAAAAAAAAAGTAGACTACATCAGAGCCCGTCTAACGGAGAGCCTTGGCACTTCCTATTAGCCCTATTGTGTTTCATCTTGGTTGCAATTCCATTAGAATTCCACTGGAGGTGATCGTGGGCGAGTGCAGAATGAGTGAGTCTATGGGGCTAAATGGCTAAATGTGTCTCTTTCACCTGCTATTCGTTAAATCAACATAGATTTTATTGTCGATCCCGCAAGTTCAATATAGATTATAGGCCAAAAGTCAAATGAATGAGTTATGTCCTTTCGATGTCTTACAGGTTAGGCCATTGTTGGCCGAAATATGCTAGCATTCTGCTATTGTGTGACGTCATCACATTTTTGTTCCTGGAAGGAACTTCATTTAGACCCTGGTTCCTGCAGTGTAAACACATCGAGTACCACCCCAAAGTTATAGTCCCTGGGGAAAGTTGCTGTGTTGGAAACGCGGCTTTTGTGTTTAGATATTTATCATGTTGTTGTCATACGTGTAGATTCAACGTGTTCCCCCATTGGTGCATCAGTGTCTCCGAGCCTCAGTTTGAGAACTGGTGTTGGTGGGAGCTCCTCAATAGTGTTCATCAATACCGGTTCACCCGGATTTTTCCCATTCGGGTTCCTGGAGTTGATAATCTCATTTACATCACTGGCCTCATGTGTTTTTCCTGTTGAATATGAAGCAGTTTCCACACATTCATTGCATTACATTCATTTGACAGCAGGTGACTGAAGGTTTGAGAGGGAATTTATGTCATTAACAGCCTCACCGCCTGTTGCTTTAGACTTGGTGATAACAGGATCCTGCAACTTAATTGGTCCCTTAGTATCCACGGTGACCTCTGTTGTGAAATGAAGGAGACATTTAACATAGTGGTGAAAATTTCAG